GCTTCTGAGACTTTGACGTACTGACTCCTGCCTCCCACCTGGGAAGCCCAGCAAAGCTGTTGCCTCTCTCCCACTCCTGGAGTTGACAGACTCCAAGCTATTTTTCAGGTGATTTAGGGACCTTCCTGGGAGACACTTTGAAGCCTCTTCAAAGCCAACTGTGTTGTGAGCAGCTGCCAAGCTGCAGAAAGGCCCCGCAGCCTGGACCACGTCTAATTACCAAGCCCACCGTCACCCTGTTGGTGCCCTTGGTGGGCCCTTCCTCTGCAGCCAGCAGCAAAGGTCCACCGTTACCCAGGAGCAGGAGAAGGGGGGGGAGTCTGCAAGGAACTTCTTCCAAAGGACACCGCACTTCCAAAGAACTGCACTGGAAGAGTTCCCATGAACAAACATGAACAACTGGTCTTACATTTACTAAGCACCAGCACATCCTAGCCCCTGTGCTGTCTCACACTGAGCTAGGCACGAGAAGAAAACAGAAGTTGTGCAAAGGCTCAACTTCTGTTCTCCCCAGCTTCTCTCCTCTGCACTCTAGGCTCTGAGCTGCTGAGCTCCCTGCCCAGGCTGTCTCCGTCTCCTCCAGCCTGGCAAAGGAGCACAGATCATTGATTCTCTCCTGGGCTCCTCACCGGCCCCTCCCCTTGTCTCCGCCTCATTCCCCTGGATCCTTAGTTAAGAAGAGGCAAATGTTCCTTCTCCATTAGCAGCATCATTTAAACAGATGGCTGCGGGGCAGGGCCCGAAGCCTCCCCCTCCCCAGGCCCTGCAGCTTTTCCTTCTACCTGCTTCCCACTCCCAACCCCAGGCAGGGAAGACTGGTGAGAGGCTGCTGGGTGGCTGGGGGAGACCGAGGCAGCAAGAGGCCCCAGAGCTCCACCGGCCTACCTGCCCCCTTAAAATCCCCAGCCCCCTCTCCACCCTGGGCCTGTAGCTTCAGAGCATGGGGCTGAATCTCATCAACACGAAATTTGAAGCCATTAAAATACAATAAAAGAGAAATTAAATGTAATCGCTCTGTAAATTATAACTAATTGAAACATCAATTGTAATTTTTATGATCTGCATTCGGAGTGAGTGATGGTGGAGTTGCGAAATGAAAGTTAAATAATGATGGTGATGTCCCGAAATGCCCTCTGGCCCCCAGCCTCTGCCTCCCTCCTCCTGCAGGCTTCCCTCCCTTCTCTTCCAGACCCTGCCCGAAAGCTCTGCCTTCCAGAAGTTTCCTCCATGCAACTGTTCCGCATGGCCTCAAAGGCCTCAGTCTGCTCATTCGTGGGTCCTCCTACATTGGGAGGCCTCTTGTATAGGGCCTCAGCAGGCCCTCCTATTTCCCTGCAACCCCCAAAAAGGGCTGGAAGGCCTTCCCGGTTCCACACATTTGGATCACGACCCCCAGGTCCCACCCAATATGCTTGGCCAAACTCCAAGCTTGGAAATGAGAGTGCCTGAAGCCTCCGATTCTCCCAGAACGTTCCCAGTTTCTGCCACACGGCCATGGAATCATGAGTCTGGAAGGACTACAGGTCGCCTGATCCATCCCCCTGCTTCCCTCCCAGCTCGAGCAAGGAACTCCAGGGCCCTAGGTCAGTTGTTCAACACCGGCACCAGCTTCCCTCCCCTCGTCCCGTGGCCGGCAGTGATGGGGAAAATGTGAGTGACCCTGCCTAGGTGTGGGGACCCTGCCATGTTCTGGCCGCCCTTCCTCCTCCCTGCTTGCCACCTCTCCACGCTGTGTGTGGCACCCACGAGAGCACGGCACCCACGAGAGCACGGCACCCATGAGAGCACGGCACCCACGAGAGCACGGCACCCACGAGAGCACGGCGTGTGTGCTGCGGAGGCCAGCAGACCTGCATTACGTCTCCACCATGAGGGCACTGCTACTCGGCTTCTCTCAGACTCCGTTTCCGAGCAGTGACTGAGAAACAATAATGACATTCACCTGAGAGGCCTGGGCTATTTAGTAACAACAGTGTTTGTGAAGCTCTTAGCACAGAGCCTAGCACAGAGCCAATCACAGAGCAGGCACCTATTAAATCTAGGGATGACCACTGTCATGGTTTGTCATTATGTAGCCCAGCTCCAGGCTGTTTTCATTTTGCTCCCAGCAGATCCCCGGGACCTGGTCCCTTCCCCCCCGACCCCTACCAACTCCCTCTCCAGTACATTGGCTGCCCCTCTGCAGATGTGAGGCAGGCAGCTGGCTACAGGCGCTCCCCACACCTTCTCCTGGCTGAAGACTTCTTTGGATTTTGTCAGGAAAATAATGGATCTTCCACAGGGTAAGAAAACAAACCCCTGGTCTCCGCTGCTTCTGGCAGAGACAGGCCAGCTCCTGGCCCCCTGGATCCCAGCAGACTGGCCGCTGACTGACAGAGGAGGCCTGGTCTCTGGAGTGGCCAACTCCCAGCTGAAGTGGATGGGGAGACAAGGTTAGGAAAGCCAGTCTACTCCCACCTCCTCCCAGAAAAAGCCTTGAAGAAGTTTTATTTTGATAGCCCGGTGTGGCGACTTACACCTGTAATCCCATCACTTTGGGACACCAAGGCGGGTGGATCACCTGAGGCCAGGAGTTGGAGACCAGCCTGGCCATCATGATGAAACCCCATCTCTATTAAAAATACAAACATTATCTGGGCATGGTGGTACATGCCTGTAGTTCCAGCTGAGGCAGGAAAATCGCTTGAACCTGGGAGGCAGAGGTTGCAGTGAGCCGAGATCGCACCACTGCGCTGCAGCCTGGGCAACAGAGCGAAACTCCACCTCAACAACAACAACAACAAAAGCTTTATTTTGAGGTACAGACTTCTAGAATCATCACAACATTCCCCCAATGCCTGTTTCTCATGAGCTGACCTCTGCCTAGAACCGCTCCATCTCAGAACATAACAGACACTTGGCTGATTTCCCTAGTGCTGGTTATTTCCCTAGCTCAGGAATCAGGACCTGAGCCCTGGGCCGCCTGACTTTCTCACCCAGGTAGCCTGGTCACTCCTCCCCTTGGCTGGCACACAGCGTTGCACAGAACAGATGAGCTAATTCAGTCCTTCTACAGCTACCCGAGGTGCGGGACCTGTGGGTTTTTTTTAATCACCAGTCTGTGACAGATCAATACGTTAAAATATTTTTATTAAGATATAATTCACATACTATAAAGTTCACTCTTTTAAGATGTGCAGTTCCGTGGTTTTCAATGTATTTCAGAACATTGCACAGCCATCACCACCACCTAATTCTGCAACATTTTCATCAGCCCAGAAAGAAATCCATACCCCTTAATACTTACTCCTCATTTCCTCCTTCCCCTGGCCCCTGGCAATCACTAATCTATTTTCTGTTTCTGTGGATTTGCCTATTCTATACATTTCATATCAATGGAAACATGCAATACGTGGCTTCTTTCACTTGGCATAATGTTTTCAAGCTTCATCCATGTCATAGCATGGATCAGAACTTCATTCCGTTTTGTAGTTGATTAATATTCCATCCTATAGGCCGGGCATGGTGGCTCACACCTGTAATCCCAGCACTTTGGGAGGCCGAGGCATGCGGAGGAACTCCTGAGGTCAGGAGTTGGAGACCAGCCTGATGAAACCCCATCTCTACTAAAAATACAAAAAATTAGCTGGATGTGGTGGTGCACACCTATAATCCCAGCTACTCAGGAGGCTGAGGCAGGATAATTGCTTGAACCCCAGAGGCAGAGGTTGCAGTGAGCCAAGATCGCACGCTGTACTCTAACCTGGGCAACAAGAGTGAAACTCTGTCTCAAAAACAAACAAACAAACAAACAAATCCGTCCTATAGATATACCACTTTGGAATTTTTCTAGGGGGCGGGGGGATGGTTTGTGTTGTTTTTGTTGTTGTTTTGAGATGGAGTTTCGCTCTGTCACCCAGGCTGGAGTGCAGTGGTACAATCTCAGCTCACTGCAACCTCCACCTCCCAGTTTCAAGTGATTCTCCTGCCTCAGCCTCCTGAGTAGCTGGGATTACAGGCGTGTGCCACTACGCCCGGCCAATTTTTGTATTTTTAGTATAGACGGGGTTTCACCATGTTGGCCAGGCTGGTCTTGAGCTCCTGGCCTCAAATCCCAAAGTGCTGGGATTCCAGGTGTGAGCCACTGTGCCCAGCCAAGATCTATACCACATTTTGTTTATCCATTCATCAGTTGATGTACATTTGAGCTGTTTCCACTTTTTGGCAATTGTTAGTGATGTTATAACAAATATTTACGTACAAGTTTTGGTGTGATCATACGTTTTCAATTCTCTTGAGTATACCCCTGGGAGTAGGATTCCAGGTTTAACTGTTTAAGGAACTGCCAAAGTGGTGTTACCATCACTGTGTTTGCAAAAATAAGATGAATATTAATTATTAGAAAAAATAAAATTCGAAATAACATACAAAACGCAAGGCTAATTTTTATCATTAAATCAACGGGCGTAAAATTACCTTGTCAAATTGCTATGACCATTTCTATTTCCTCTCAGTTTCTAAACTTGCTTGGTCAATGATGGGTAACACACAGTTCTTAGACTGGCACCAGCCCTTGGGCCATGCTTTGAGCAGCCTGGACCATCTGCATCCTCTCCACTGCCTCCAGCATGAAGGGCAGCCCCTTGGTGTGGGGTGCAAGCCCCACCCAACACCGGCCTCTCCAGCCTCATTTCACACCAGCCACACTGTGTGCCCATTCTGTCCCCAGGACTCCCTTCCTGCCCCACCTTGGACTGATCAATCCCTCTTTTTTTTTTTTTTTTTTTTTTTGAGATGAAGTCTCACTCTGTCGCCCAAGCTGCAGTGCAGTGGCGCAATCTCGGCTCACTGCAACCTCTGCCTCCGGGTCTCAAGCGATTCTCCTGCCTCAGCCTCCAGAGTAGCTGGGACTACAGGTGCGCGCCACCACGTCCAGCTAATTTTTTGTATTTTAGTAGAGACGGGGTTTCACCGTATTGCCCAGAGTGGTCTTGAACTCCTGAGCTCAAGCGATCTACCCACCTCGGCCTCCCAAAGTGCTGGGATTACAGGCTTGAGCCACCACGTCCAGCCTAATCCCTCTTATTTCCAGTTGGCAGCCGAATCACCCCCTCTAGGAAGCCCTCTTAAGACCCCGGATCTGGATTAGGTGCCTCCTCAAAGGCCTCCCAGTTACAAAGCTCAACCGTTTACTCCCCTGTTTGCTTGGTAACGATCTGATTGGCGTCTCTCTCCTCCACTGTTAGAGCCTCCTTTAGGGCAGAGGCTCTTCCTAGAAGAGAAGCATCCAAGACACAGGGCGACTGTGTCATAGAGTGACTATGTAATTTAAAGTCCAAGCCAGGACATTTTTTAGAGTGAAAGAGGGAGCTGTTAATGATTATGCCAGGACACCAGGCATAAACCAGAGCTGTCCTGGGCAAACAAGGACTCGCAATCACTCTGTCTAGAAACTTCAGTCCCAGGGAGGGGCCTATGGGAAAAACACAGGGATGGGAAGAAACAAGGAAGTAAACAGCACTGGGGAGGGCCAGAGCAACAGGTCCCCTCCCTCAGGACCCAAGTGGTCCTCTGCAGTCCTGCGGTCTGGTCATGCTCCTTGGACACCAATACCATGGCCACTTTCTCTAGCACCAGCTGGACCACCCCCACTGAGCAATCTCATCATCCCTACGTCCCAAGAAGATGGCCTTCTCATGTCCTTCTACATGCTTGCTTTAGGCTCGGATGTTGATCCTGGGTTCCAACAGTCAAGGCCAAGTTTTCCGAGTCGTGGAGAGTACCAGACAAGAGAAGCGGGGTTCCTGTGGCCTCTCACTTCACATGGGGACACAGGTGGATCCGGTACCTTGGAGTCTTGCAGGCTGTCTGCTACGTTGTGGGTATGACTGGCTAGGGCTGGCCTTGCAGGCAGTAAAAAAATGTAACAAGACAGTCCTAGGTAAAGAAAGGCAGATTTATTAGAGAAGGTGCAAAGATACATTAAGAAACATTGCAAGGGTCCAATGGGCAGCAAAGCAGAGAAGGGGCTGTCTGCAAAGGGGCAGGGGCTGCAGGGCAGTTTCATAGGGTCGTGTTTCTGGGGCTACGTGCAGAGTGAGGTAGTCGTGTCAGCAGGTTGTCTGTTATTAGAACAATTGTTCTCCCCACCCCTCCACCCCATCCCCACATCCCCGCCCCACCACCCCAGACCCATTCTTCCTTGTTGCTTACTTCTCGGGACTCCACATACTAGAACTGAGTTTTTCATTTTGGTACCCCAGCACCCAGCCTAGTGAGTACTCCATGAGTGTTGGCTGAATGAATGAATGAATGAATGAATGAATGAATGCAAGCCTCAATGTCCCCATAACAACAGGCAATAGGATTTCCTAGAAACTAAAGAATCTTGGCCTTGTCACTGGCCAGAGGCAGTCAGCCAAGGAGTCATCTTTTCCTGCTTAAAACTCGAAAAAAAAAAAAAGTGATGAGAAAGGCCAGGTGCAGTGGCTTACGCCTGTAATCCCAGCACTTTGGGAGGCCAAGGCGGGTGGATCACCTGAGGTCAGGTGTTCAAGACCAGCCTGGTCAACATGGCAAAACCCTATCTCTACTAAAAATACAAAAAGTAACCAGGCGCAGAGGTGCACGTCCGTAATCCAGCTACTTGGGAGGCCGAGGAATGAGAATTGCTTGAACCTGGGAGGCAGAGGTTGCAGTGAGCCAAGATTGTGCCACCGCAATCCAGCCTGGGCGACAGAGCGAGACTCCATTTCAAAAAAATGAAAGTGATGAGAAGCAAAAGCTGTGTAAGGCTGGTGGCTCCCCTGGTTCCTGGGTTACGAAGTGGCAGCGTCTCCCTTGGGCTGAGATTTGTAGTTCCTGGGTAAATGCCAGGGTTTAATGGGCGTGCTAGGGAAAATGTTTTTTAGTGAGTGGTAAATGTCTCCCTGGTGCCTGCGGCGGTAATTACTTCAATGGGACGATCTCTCTTTAGCATGCTCCTGGCCAGGAGGTAGGGAGGGGCTCTGAACAGAGGGACCAGCTCTGGAAGCTGTGGCCAAGGGCATCTCTTGGAGGAAGCCGAGGGAGGAAGAAGGAAGAGACACAGGTGAGCCCACACCTGGCCCAAGCCAGGAGGACAGCGGCCCGGGGGTGCCTGGGTTCAGGGTAGCCAAGGCAGGAATGTGTGTCGTGTGTCAGTGCTTCAGGTTTAATTATTGGGTCATTATTGGGTCTCTACCTGGATGAGGTTACAAGAAAAAAATTTTAAAGTTTTTATTGAATTATAAAACACGTACCTAAAATGCACAGATGATAGTGTTTATTTAGCAAGGCAAATTTTCACAAACTGAACCTTACAGCAAACCAGTTCCCAGAGCAAGAAATAGAACAGAACAGCCCCCAAGAAGCCCAAAAGTCCTTCCCAGCCACTCCCCACCCCCAAGGTGACCACTGCCCTGACCTTTGTCATCATGTCAGTTTTGCAGGAAAACTCGGTAATATCACAGGGGATGGTCAATGCTGAGGGAATCACATGCATGGGGGACTCAGGGGGCACAGAGGACGGACATGTCACACAACCCACAGCTTGGAGAAGACTCCAGGAGGAGGTGATGTCTGAACCAAGTCCTGGAGGATGAACAGACGTGAAGGCAGAGGTGGAGAAAGGGGTGTGTGTGCGTGTGCATGTGTGTATGTGTGCATACGTGTGTGTGCGTGTGAGTATGTGCGTGCACGTGCATATGTGTGCATGTGTGCACATGTGTGTGCATATGTGTGCGCGTGTGTGCATGTGTGTGCGCGCATGTGTGTGCCGTGCGTGTCATCACCCTAGTTTATTGGTTCCTTCCACCTGTGGCTATTAATCTTTCCATTCTACGAAATTAAATGAGTTCAAGAAGAACTCAGGGGCCAGGCACTGTGGCTCCCACCTGTAATCCCAGCACTTTGGGAGGCCGAGGCGGGCGGAAAACCTGAGGTCAGGAGGTTGAGATCATCCTGACCAAGATGGTGAAACCCAGTCTCTACTAAAAACTACAAAAATTAGCTGGTGACCAGCACCTGTAATCCAAGCTACTCGGGAGGCTGAGGCAGGAGAATTGCTTGAGCCCTGGAGGTGGAGGTTGCAGTGAGCCGAGATCGTGCCATCGCACTCTAGCCTGGGCGACAAGAGCGAAACTCCATCTCAAAAAAGAAGGAGGAGGAGGAGGAGGAGAGAAAGAAGAAGAAGAATGTAGGTTAGCTTGAGGTTTCTCAGTCTCCACACTATTGACATTTCAGGCCAGATTGTTCTTTGTTATGGGGCTTTCCTCTGCACTGTAGGACATTTGGCAGCACCCCGGCCTCTACCCACTAGATGCTAGTGGAAATTCTCCTCCCAAGTTGTAACAACTAAAAATGTCTCCCAATGTTCCTGGGGAGGGGGACAAATTGCCCTTCTCTGTCTGAGAACCCCAGATTAGCTGAAGAGAACTACCAGTGGCCAACAACTTGGTGAATAAATGACGTATGTGAGCTGTCAGGAGGATCCTGGCAGAGACTGGCCTACCCTGTGCCTGGAGGCAGGGGGATGAAGAGGTTGTGTTTGGGAGGGCCTGCCTGACCCCCAGCTCCAGCACTGGGCAGCATCTCCCAGCCACCAGTGGGGACCTAGGAGGTTGCATGTGGTCAGCCCTAGGACTGGGAGCAAAGAGGAGAGACAGGGAGGCGATGTCTGAACCAAGCCCTGGAGGATGAACAGATGCGAAGGCAGAGGTGGAGAAAAGTGTGTGCATGCGTATGTGTGTGCGTGCGTGTGTGTGTGTGTGTGTGTCCCTGAGTGGCCCAAGCCAGGAGCAGGACTTGCTCCCTGCTCCAGAGAGATAAGGGGGAGAATATCACAACAGAAGGGCCTTCCTGTTGCTGAGATCGGATTTCAATTAAAATGATTAGCTCTATTTATTTAGGCTCCACAGCTGCGTACAATCTATTGCGTGTTATTGCAAGTTTAAAGAAATAAAGGAGGGGCATGGGGGGAGGGGAAGCATTTCAGCCTAAATGGAAAAAGTCCTCCTGTAATTACGAGATTGGAGAATATCCGCGGAGGGGATCAATAATGGGAAATCTAAGTGCCACTGTTTGCCGAGATTAAAGTTTGAATCGCTCCATCTTGGATTTTAATTTTCTTTCTCATTGTCACATCACCCTGAGCTGTGATCCCAGCCCCACCTCCCCGCTTCAGAGAGGCAGGCGGTAGGGCTGAACCAAAGCGCCGCAGTCAGGGCACATCTGACCTTCTTTCACACCTTTTATTGCGGTGTAACAAATGACCACGCACTTAGGAGCTTAAGACAATACACGTTTATTGTCTCACAGTTTCTGTGGGTCAGGAGCCTGGTGATGGTTCAACTGGGTCCTCTGTTCAGGGTCCTGAAAGGCAGCACTCAATGTGTCTCCTGGGACTGGGTCTCATCTGACGTTCGGGGTCCTCTTTCAACCACATGGAGTCGCTGGCAGAATTCATTTCCTTACAGCTGTAGACTCGCGGCAGCTTGCTTCTTCAAAACCAGGAGGAGAGAGGCTCTGATGTCCAGGTCTTCTTTAAAAGTGCTTGCTGAGCTGGGTGCAGTGGCTCATGGGCTGGGGGCAGTGGTGCACGTCTGTAATCCCAGCAGTTTGGGAGGCCAAGGAGGGCGGATCACTTGAGGTCAGGAGTTCCAGACCAGCCTGGCCAACATGGCAAAACTGCATCTCTATTAAAAGTACAAAATTAGCCAGGCATGGTGGTACACGTCTGTGATCCCAGCTACTTGGGAGGCTGAGGTATAAGAATCGCTTGAACCTGGGAGGTGGAGGTGGTAGTGAGCTGAGATCACACCACTGCACTCCAGCTTGAGCAACAGAGAGAGACTCTGTCTCGAATAATAAAATAAAATAAAGTGCTCACCTGATTAGTCCAGGCCCATCCAAGATAATCTCCCTTTTGATCAACTTAAAGTTAACTGTTTAGAGACCTTAATGACATCTGCAAAACGTCTTCAACTTTGCCATATTCTTTTTAGAGATGAGGTCTTATTCTGTCGTGCAGCCTCCACTTCGACCTCCCAGGCTCAAGCAATCCTGCCACCTCAGCCTCCTGAGTAGCTGGAACCACAGGTGTATGTGACATCATGCCTGGCTAATTTTCTTTTGTTTTTAGTAGAGACAAGGTTTCACTATGTTGCCCAGGCTTGTTTCAAACTCCTGGACTCAAGCAATCCTCCTGCCTCAGCCTCTCAAAGTGCTGGGATTACAGGCGTGAGCCACTGTGCCCAGTCATCTTTGCCATATTCTATTAACTAGAAGCAAGTTACATGTCTCACCCACACACAAGGGGAGGGAATCATACAACGGTGTGTAAGCCCTTGGGGCTCATCTTACAATTCTGCCTAACTCACCCTCCATCAGAGCTCTCTCTCTCCAGCTTCTTCTTCCCAGATTCCCAGAGCGAGGCCTTGAAAAGACATCCCTTCCTGAGCCATCCTCACCCCGACAGGCCTCCACAGTCCCAGCTTGCTGAACTGACCCCAGTAAACAATCCAGCAGCCAGCCTTGATTGAGAGTCTTCCCAAATGGGAGAAGAAATGAAGAAAACAACCAAGAATATGACATAATCCTCTGACTTTCTGTCCAGGGCTCTTCCCTGCAGACCAGGTTTGCTCCCACTGGTCTACTGGCTCTTCTGTGTCCCAAACACTAGCCAGGATTCCTGGCTGCCCTGACCCAGCAGCCTTGACCTGTTACCTTTCTTCTTCTCAGGATACAGAGCACAAGGTGAGATGCAACTGAGCTCTTCCAGTGTGGATGAGGGGAGGAGCCCACTGTCCTCAAAGGACCCACACTTTTATCATGTTGTTGCCTGGCTTCCAAGTCTGAGACAGCTGCTTCAGCTCCAGCCATCACTCCCACCATCCAGCCAACAGGAAGGAGAAAGGGAC